TCTCGTCTCGTCTCGTCTCCATGGCAATCATCATGCCTCTGTCTCATCGCTGCTGATCACCACCTCCTTCTTCCGCCCACCAGCCATAAACATCCTCACCTCCCTTCCATAACGACCCACTCTGCTGCCTCTGCACTCACGATTAGCCGCTACGCGACAGCCCCTGAGCCATCAGCCGCGGCCATAAGTGCCCCTCGGCAACTCCTTTACGACACGTACGACCACTATACCCACCACTTGACCTTCACACAGCCAACCCCCTAACGCCTAAGCTCACCATTCAAACGACGGCGACACGACTATTCACGACGATCACGCTCAAGGTGTCGAATTTCACACACAAAAGGCTTCCTAGCATTCGGGCAGAAAGGCTTGCAAGGCACTACGAAGCACATACTCGGCGGCCTGGCTCGCAGCCCACTCACGGCTACACTCGCCGCCCGACTTGATCTGAGGGCAAGATGTACGGTGAGGATGTAGGACGATCTGCTGCGGATTATTACGGCGACATGCATCAGGCAGCAGAGTCATCCGACTACATCGAGAGGGATCTGGCCGACTATGCAGTCCCATCCTTTCCTCCCCGCGCAGGCGGCGGGCGGTATAGCCTACCAGCCACGCACCATCCTCCTGCCCCACGCTCCACCTACAGCACCCCAACCCGTTCTAATCGAGGAAGAAGTGGCAAACAGGCTCGAGCCACCTCGTTGGAGGTTGGCTCTGTGTACTCTGCCGGCGCTGCTGCACCAGGCTACCGCTATCCGCAGTACTCTAGGGATCCGCTCGCCAGTCCCATTTCTGCTCCAGCCATGACAGAGTATGGCGTGTACGGCCCGCATCCTCATCATCACCACCAGCACGCAGCGCACCTCCCATACCCCTCCAGGTACCACCCTCAGGAGGCCTACCTCGCTTCGCCAGACGAGGCGATGGGCATGCAGCCCAACGATCACTACTGGTACGCTGAACCGCCTCAGTTCGCCGCTCCGCATCCAGACTTTCCAGGCTTCAGGCCAGAGTCTGTGGCGAGCTCGAGAACTCTGACCTCAGCCGCTCATCAATCCGTCCACTCGCCGCTCGTAGCTTCAGCATCCGTCACAGGCTCGGGAGGGGCTGTATTCTCCAATCAAGACTTGCAAGCTTCTTCCTCTTCGCCTGGTTTCTTCGATGTGGAAGCTAGACATCACGTGCCCGGTCGACGGAGCAGAGATCAAGAACCCATGCATGCCGTAGGCGCGCTGAACGGGGCTCCGAATACCGGTCCGTACGGCGACGCCTTGCCTAACTTTCCAGCGTGGAGCAGGACGTGGTATGGTGGGCATCTGTCTGCTGATGGTCACGCCTACACCATGGTGCCCCCCGCCATGGGCCCCGGCTCGGGCAATGGCTCAGGATGGGAATCCGAGACGCTGTCCAGGTCCGCGGGCAACGTCAATGGGCAGTATGGCCGCGTGTATGGCAAGGCTGGAGACCATGGCATTTCTGATTACGTCAAAGAGGAAAGGATGAGGATGCTGGAAAAGGAATTTGGAGCGCCCAGAGTCAAACATGCCAAGGGTCAAGATGACGACGACGCCAGCGACAAAGACGATGATGAACCAGAGGAAGAAGAGCAGGAAGAATTGGTGTTGGGAAGCGTGGACAGCCGGGGCAGGCTTGTCACAGAAAGACCAAAGTGGATGCTGGCAGTCAGGTGGCTCCAAATTCTGTGCGCCTTGACTGCTCTGGCGTGCGGCGTCGGGGGTGCGCTGCTCATCAAGCCGGTCTCATCCGCTTCCACCGACGTCTCGAACGACGACACTATTCCGGCTCCCAAAGGCACGATGCCTGCATACATCATGTACGCTGCGAGCGGCGTCACAGTGTTGATCTTGTTCTACCTCTTCTTGTTCAGACCTTGCTGCTGCGATCCGATGAGGAAGCATCTCAAGGAGTCGGAAAGCGGAGCGATGGGCATGGGGGGATTGGGCGGTATGATCATCCCTGTTCTTTCTGGCGGCGGAGGACCTGGACCTGGAGGCAAGATGCCAAAAGGCATGCCCGGAGGACCTAAGCGGGGTCTCTTCGGCAAAAGGAAGGAGATGATGGGAGGCGGAGGTGCGCCGACTGTTAATTTGATCGTCGACCCTGCTCTGCTGGGAGGTGGAAGCGGCAAAAAGGGACGGAGGGGCCAGTCGGAAGATTCGAGCTCGGACGAGGGAGAGAGGCTACCTGGCGAAGGGCGCAAGCGCCGACGAAAGCGACGAAAAGGACATGCTGGAGTGATGGAGACGATGAAGCTTCAAGCTCGGTGGCGTATAGCTCGATCTTCCTTCAAGGTCTTTTTGGTGTGGGACATTTTGCTCTGCATCGTCTGGATCGCAGTGCTGATCGTCGTCATCGCTTTGGGCAAAAAATGTCCTCCTGGGACAGCCAAGGGTTGGTGCGACGCTTTCAATGGAAACATTGCCGCTGGTGCAATCTTTGCTGCCGTCACCATCCTAGCCATCTACCTCGATTGGAGGATTTTGGCAGTTAGCAAGCATCCCCCTAAACATACCTTTTGAGCAAGACCTCTTTGTGTTAGGACGCACAAATCTTTCGCTCACGGACACTCCCCCTTCCCCCACTCGACTCCTTTGTACCTCACTTGGATCGCAACGCACGCACGTCATCTCTCATACAATCAAAGCTTCCCTTCAATTTCCCTCAGCTCAATTTTTTCTTATGCCGAGGCTGCGCAACAGACCATCCCCGTTCAACCTGCAGTGACCTTTCCCATCTGCTGCAAACCTTCACCTCTGATGATCATCATCTTCCTCTACTTCTTTGCACTGCTCATATCCGCCGTGCCGCTCGTTGAGAAGCTAGAGCAAGTTATCCGTCATTCGCTTTGCATGACCAGGCCTTTTCATTTGTGATGGTGAAGGACAAATCTTCGAGCCCACGCATGTGATCCGGGTTCAAGGAGATGAAATCTGAAAAATTGATACGAGTACAGAAAGGCATTCAGATTTGCGCAGGGCCGTGATGACGTGCTTACAAAATGAATTTGTTGTGCGTTCAGCCGGAACCGTCGCGCCTCGCTCCATCTGCGGCCACTTTTGCGAAGCTATGTGCGGCCTGCGCCTCCATCTGAGAGCCGTTTCCCACAGTGCTAGAATCGGCCGCATCCCATTGCTGTTCTACGTCACCAAGTGCACCGAGGTCTGCGTCTAGACCTGCAGAGGCACTTGGTCGAGCTGCTCCCGCATTGGCATATCCTTCCTTCAGTACTGCCCCCTCGTTGCCCCTTGTTCCGCTCCCGCGCTTGACAGGCGAGCGGGGAACGTGCGGAGTAGACCAAATATCACTCGTGTTGGCGTAGTTGCCAAAGGTCGGACTTTCATTGAAGGCACCTGCGTTCGAGGGAAAGACGGGGCTATTGAGGTGAGTGCTTAAAGCACTGCCTACTATGGGACCGCCAGGGTAAGGCTGATGTTGTTGCAAGGGACCAAACGATCCGAGATGCCTTGGAGAGACATTGTCGCCGCTGGGCTTAATGTTCGAAGAGAACGGGAAAGCCCTAGGGCTGACGGGACTGACAGGTGCGGAGCCCATACTTCCAGGGCCGGCATTGCCCGAAGCCTGCCTTGTGCCGCTGTTGCTTGCATTCGTTCGATTGAGTGCCGAAGCTCCTGATGCGGGCGGTTGACCAACGCCCATCAAAGCTGCCCGGCTCCTGAGAGGTGAAGAAGTGGACGAATTCGAAAGGCCCCAGATGTCGGCAGCGGGGTGGGAGGGCCCACGAACGCTGCTCGTGCCCGTGTCCGGAAGATGTACTGTGTTGTTCCAAGGTGAAGCATGATTCGATCCTGGCGCAGCTCCAGATGGCATCAGACTGGAACCAGTGGCAGATCCGGCAGCCTGCAGCCCAGTAAGGTGGGGGAGGCCGTTCCAAACTCCAGCGTTTGTTGCGCTCGATCCGATCTGACCTGGGATACTGGACTGTGAATGCGCAGCAGGTCCGAAATCATCGTAGTCCAGAGGACCAAAGGATTTCCTTCTTTGTGGTTCCTCCACAGCAGCAGTTCCAAGATATCCTGCGCCGGACGTACTGGCTACAAGTGACGAGCTGAAGGGAGAGCCTGATTGAGGAGTAGCTTGAGGAGGATGATGAGGATTGTTGAAAGGCAGGTTTGGAGAGTTACCACCAAGCGGAGACGGTGCGTTGGATAGATTGCTGCTCAGTCTGTGAGGATACAAAGAATCGCTCGGTCCCAAATTAAATTTGTTGTTAACACCTCCAAAGTGGGGCAGGCCTGCCGCCGCGGCACTACCGGGCTGATTCAGAGGCGATGTATTATCGCTGTTTACCGACAGTGGAAAAGCACCGCTGGACATTGCCAGGACCGGAGAAACGCCAGATCCTGATGGGACGAACTCGGGCTTATTAGGATTCAAAGTGATCGACGAAGAGAATGGGGCTTGTTGATGGGTCTGGACATAGGACGCTGCTTCACTGAGCTCTCTGGGCATCAATCCGGAGCCCGATACGAAGTGGCGCGCCATGCTATCCGACGATGGATGATTGTTGGATCCAAAATGGCTTCCGACTCGATCCGGACCAGTGGAGCCGCTGGGACGTCCACCTCCCACAAAGGCGCCTCTTCTAGAAGCGGGATGATACACATTGGGGCCGCTAGATGACCTCCCTTGAGGCGCCCTCTTACCCAACGTGGAGGCCATGTTGATGTTTCCGCCGAGGGGTGCGGCTCTGGCTCCGCTAGACGGGTTGAATTGCGCTCCTGGGGTACCTGCGCTACCCGTGGAGCCTTTGGCCGGCGCCTGCGTCGCTACAAGCATTGCAGACCCTGTCGAGCTTGGTGACTGAGAAGCATCTGCGTCCAGGCTTCGGACGAACTCCAAAGGTGCGCTTCTGATCCTCTCGATCTCCTCCTTTAGCTTCTCTATTTGCAGCTCCAGATTTGAACATCTCTCGTCTTTGAGATGTTTCCTCTCCCTCTCTCGGTTATCGACCGCATCGTTTATAGCGCTCAATTTGCTTTGATGGTTCCTCATTTCCTCTTGTACTTTCAGCAGCGCCGCCTTATCCTCGCTCTCACGCTTCTCGACTTCTGCTTTCACTTGCTCATATCTTTCATTGGCTTGCCGCTCTCTCTCGTGCGCCTCTTGGTGTCCACTGTTGACGCTATCAGCTTCTTGTTCCATCTCCCTTGCCTGCAAAGTTGACTGCCGGATCCCCTCTTGCAATGCAAGCACTTTTTGTCTGCTTCTGTGGTCTGTGTCGGTCTGCTTTTGCAGACCCTTCTTCAGAGCGTCAATTTCCGATCGCAGAGCTCCTTCGGCCCTTTGAGATTCCTTTCTGGCTTTGCGCAATTCCGCGTTGAGGGCCTCGCGGAGATTGCTGGATGCTACAATGTCGGCGAGCAGCGCGGCATGAGCTGCGCTCTCCTCTCCATCCTCGGACGAAAGAAGAGGCGGTGTGCTGGCGCTTGCTGGCGCAGCCCTACCCCAGGGAAGAGCTGAGGATTTTGCAGCAGTGTCGGGACTAGCAGGTGCAGGTGCAG